TGACCTAGAAAACACACCAATGGCATGTTGGGCCATTTTTTAGTCATTTTAAAATGGTGGCCTAGAAAACGCAAATTGCAAAAGTTAGGCCACCACTTCTGTCTTCTGTCTTACCTTGCCATCATCGAATTCATCGGCCACGCGCTGGTCGGCTGCGCGGCGGCCGACGCGCTTCTGATCTGTGCAGTCGTCGTTGGCATCAGTGACGTCATCGTTGGCGTCGTCGGATCGTCAAAGCTCACCGGGAACTTCACCGAAGACGTCGTGGATCCTCCAGATCCGAACGTTGTATCAAAGTTCACCGCAAACGGATCAGCGTCTCTTGCTGGATTCATAATCACCGGTAGTGGGGGCGGAGCTTCGTCGGGAAGTTGGCTGGGGTTGAAGAGGCCAGTCTGATGGTCGATTCCTCGGAACGCCGAGACCGGAGGGGTTAAGTCCTGCTGGGTCTTGGCTCCCCAATCAATCGTAGAGAGCCCGGAGAACAGGTCGTCGAGGTCCAGGCTGTAGTTGGGGCCAGATTTTTGTTGCGTCGGCGGAGCCTGTTTCTGTGGAGCCACCTGAGGAGCCGCTCCCTGTGGTGGAGGTGGCGCCATCGGAAGCGTCATTGCCGCCGACGTCCAATCATAGTTCGTACTTTGAGTTGTGGTAGTCGGTTGGAGGGGTAGAGCAGAAAAGTCCGCAAAGTTAGGCTGTGGAGGGGGCGGAGCCGGGGCGCTAGATGGTGGGGGTGCTCCGAAAAGATCCTCCAGGTCGATTAGATTCTGGCTCTTCTGAGCCGGAGCCACTGGCACCGCTGGAACAACCTTGGGAGGCGTCTGAGTCACCGGAGAAATCAATTGGGCAGCCACATCTTCTCCCTTCTCGATTGACGTGTACGGCTTCAGAATGTTACTTGGAAGCATTGCGTTGTAGTAGCCATTATAGCACAACCACATACTGGGTACCTCTCGATTCACAGCGAGCACCACATCGTTCTGACGGACCAACAGAAGCTTCCCCTCGGATAGTGCTAGCTTCAGCATTCCTTGATCTGTGGGGTAGTGGGTGGTGGAAACAAAGATGTCTCCTAGGCGACCTTTGGCTCCAGCCTTTTCTAGAATTGTGTTCCTTTCTGTTTGACTTTGAGGTCTAAACTTGTGGATGTGGACCACCGGAGCCTCTGTGATCGTCGGCAGATTCTCCGTAGCCGATGGAGCCAACACCGATGTCTGCCCCGCCCATAAATCGCCACTACTAGTTCCCTTTTTATTCGTCGGTGACGCGGATCTCGCTCGTTGCTTCATATTCTGAATCGCTTTGTTAGCAATCTTCTGAAGGGGTTTCATCCGATCGGTGTCGTAGAAATCGACAAAGCACTGGGTGTTGTTGGTGATCAAGGATCGTGGGGCATTGCTGTCCGATTGGCGAGACTTGGCTTCGTTGAACAGTTTTCGTTGGGTCTCCATGAGGCGTTTGTCCTGTTCGGAGACTTGTTTCATCGACGTGGCGAGGACCTGGAATTTTACCATTTTAGGGGTTTGAAACAGCTGGAAATGGTTTAAAATTGGTCAAAAATCAGTACGGTAATTGTCTTTCTAGGAACATATGAAATCTATTTTAGAGGTCTAAGGGTCTAAAATCACTGAAAATGGCTCTAATTGGCCAAAATTGTCAAAAATCGGTCAGGGATGGCCTATGGTAATTTTGAGAGGTCTAAAACCACCGAAAAAGGCTCAAAATTGTCAAAAATCAGTTAAATACGGATTTTTTGTTCTAGGGGGCAATTTTGAGTCATTTTTCAAGAATCAAAGCTTCAAAATAGTTGGAAACAACTCGAAAATATCAGAAATCGGTCCGAGAAAGACTATGGTCAATGTAAGGGATCTGAAATCGCTGAAAATAGCTTAAAGTAGGTCAAAAATCAGTAGTTCAGTACGGACATTTTGGTTAGGATCATTTTCGAATCAATTTTCAACGTTTAATGGTATGAGACAGCTGAAAGTGGCTTGAAATCACTGAAAATGACCTAAAAAAAGTTTAGATGATTATTTTCATTTTTTCGGGTCCAAAATCTCGGAAAATAGTGTTAAAATACCGTAAACACTCTAATAGAACGCCACCCGAATCGTTGAATTTGAGCACATGTATCTCATTTTCTGTTAGAGATATCAGAAAGTGGTTAACTGATCAAATGTTGCTGATAACATGATAAACATTTTATCAGTTGACAACTTTTTGATATCTTTCAAAAGGAGTGAGAGGCTCAAAATGAGCGGTCCATAGGCTCAAAAGGAGTGAGAGGCTCAAAATGGACGGTCCGGGTGGCGTTCTATTAGAGGGCTTACGGTGATAAGAAATTGATGGAAAGATGGCACAATAGAACTGTAACGCAATGGAATTATGACTGAATGGAACGGTTCAAAAATCATGATTTTGCCCAAAAATCGAAAATCCATGAGTCATCATTGCTCATTCTTAATTCCTCATAACCATATGTTGAAATGCTTCGAATTCGATTATTTTTAAGCATTTCTGGGCATTATTTTACAGCTTTTCAGCAAACATGCTTCTTCCATTATATCGCATTGCTCAGCTTAAAATTTTAAAAAAGAAGAAAAAACTCACATTCGTCAAATATTCGGTAACCTTTGGCAGTTGCTGTTTGACCTGTGTGTTCAGCGCTTCGTAGTCTTTTTGGATTTCGGCAAAGTCGCGTTTCTGGAAAAATTTTTTCATAAAATTTTCAGCCAAAAATTGGATTTGAAAACAGCAATTTTCAGCCAATTTTGAACGATTTTTTGGCTGAAAACTTTCAAATTTTCATCCAATTTCAAGGCAAAAACTTACCCCACTGCCCTTTTCCTTGGTCCTCGATGCCTCGTAATCCATCAGCTTATCATTCCTTTTCTTAATCAGTCGCTTCGGAATATTCCTCAACGCCTTCACAATATCATCACGAATCTTCATGTTGACGTCGTTCGCCCAGATTTTGACAGCGTGATTGAACGGTTGAAGTTGTTGGTCGATTTCACCGTTTGATAGAGCCTTTTTTCCTGGAAAAATGGGTCCAAAATTAAGGAAAATTGATCAAAAATTGGGTAGAATGGACTTAAAAATGGGCCCGAAAAAATGAATAAAAAACGCCCTAAAAATATGAAAAAAATGTGTCCAAAATGGGCAAAAAACACCAAAAAATATGGAAAACAGACCTATAGATAGGTTAAAAGAGCTTAGAACTGGGTCAAATGTACCTGAGAATAGGGTAAAATGGACCTAAAAATGGGAAAAAAATGAAACTAAAAATGGATTGCAAAGACCCTAAAAATATGAAAAATGCACCTAGAAATTGGGTAAAAAGACCCAAAAATCGGATGAAAAATATGTGCGATAGAGCTGAAAATGAAGAGAAAGAGGCTAAAAATATGCAAAATGAACAAAAAAATGAATAAATTAGATCTTAAAATCTGGAAATTTCTAGCCAAAAAATCAAATAATTGAGAGAACGGGTCAAAAATAATCAGCAATATGAAGCTCTAGAATCAATAGGAAAAAACTAAAAATTGCCAAAAAACCACCTAAAAACGCCCCAAAAACCCTGATGGCCTAGTTTCGGTTTTCTAGGCCACCAGACTCAAAAACACCACAACTCACTTGGCTCCACCAGCTTTTTGTGCATCAGAACACGTGTCTCGTGGAACATCTTCTTCCTGTAGATCACCAACATGTAATTGAACCGGACCAGCCGTCGTTCGGCACTGTCCAGCTCACACACCAGTCGATCGAAATCCGTGTCGCGTAGCTGAAAAGAAGGGGTTACAGTAGGGGATTACTGTAGGGTTACTGTTGTTTTGTAATAATTACTGTAGGTATTCCCTAGAGTTTGAAAAATGAGAAAAAATTCAATTTCAAGGAGCGTAAAATAGCCTAAATCGCTCTAGACTATTTTAGGTCTATTTTCATCAATTTCAGGCCAATTTTAGGCCAATTTTAGCCAATTTTCAGCAATTTTCAGACTCAAAAACCCACCAATTTCACCACACCCAACGATGATCCCATTCGATACGTGAATCGATTCGATTTCTTCTTTAACGAGTGGAACGTCATCTTTGAGAGCATCTCGCCAAACGTCTGCTTGTCGTCCGACATGTACTTTTGGGCTGGAAAAATGAATTTTTAGGGCTAAAATTGAGATTTTTCAGCTTTCAGTTCGATTTTCACATCAAATAAGTATTAAATTCGAATTCTAAACTGAAAATTAGCCTAAAAACCATCAAAAAACGACCAAAACGACCGTGGCCGAGTTTTCTAAATGGTGGCCTAGAAATTCAAAAAACTCGGTCACTTTCAAATTTTCTTTTTTTCCGGGTTTCTGTGGTAGTTTTCGATGGGGAACTCGAATTTCATAGTCTCAACTTGCGAAAATTACTAGAAAAGCAAGTTTTTGGATTTCAGCGATTTTCAGCAATTTCCAGCCAGATTTTTCTTTCATATCTGGCTTCTTTTTGATTTTCACACAAAACAAACGTTGGATTCGAACTCTAAAAAAATTGGTCCAGAAACCATAAAAAACTGTCAAAAAGGACCGTGGCCGAACTTTCCAAATGGTGGCCTAGAAAAGTCGAAAAACTCGGCCATTTTGAAATTTTCTGTTTTTTTCGGGTTTCTGGGGTAGTTTTCGACGCAAAACTCGAAATTCATCACTTCAACTTGCAAAAATCCATACTTTTATTCGAAAAATCGGGATTTCTCCAAATTCAGCAATTTTCAGCCAAATTTGTCTTTCATATCTTGCTTCATTCTGATTTTCACAAAAAATAAACATTAAATTCGAGTTCTACACTAATAACTGGCTTAGCAAAGTTTAAAAAACGACTAAAAACGATCGTGGCCGAACTTCCCGAAATGGTGGCCTAGAAATTCCGAAAACTCGGCCACCTTCAAATTTTCTGTTTTTTCTTAGTTTCTAAGATAGTTTTTGATGGAAAACTCGAATTTCATAATCTCAATTTGGGAAAACTACTAGAAAGTTGGTTTTTGAGCATTTCCAGCCAAAATTCAAAAATTTCAGTTTTTCAAAAACTCACTCAGCTCTTTCCTTCTTTTCGACTCGTTCATTTTTTGTCCCAAATTCGACATTTGTTTGATCGCTTCCGTTAATTTAGGGTGATCCGTGTGCACGAGTGGTGTCAGCTGCAAATGTGCTCTATTGACAATGGGCGGTGGCAAGTTTGAATTTTTAGAAATAATAGGGTGAAAAATCGGAATTGCCATCTTAAAATGGAATTGCCATCTTAAAAAAAATCCTCTGAATTCAATTTTCAGCCTCGTTTCCCCTGAAAATGAGCCACAAACCTTAACAATCTCATTCAAGAACAACGGATACTTCGTAGCCCGTTGAATGGGTCTCGACACGGCAGTCGGTCCATCAATTACCACCGCTCCACCCTCCCGCATTCGTTTCACAATGTCCAAAAGCGCCGCCTCCATCGTTTTTTCGTGTTTCGCCGAGTTCGTCAGAGCATTAATGTGCTCAATGTTGCGAAAATAGAATCCATAGGTTTGGGCGAACGGTTTGCGGAGTTGAAGGAAACAAGCGCCGATTTGTTGGGCTTCCGCGGGTTTTGCTGCAAAAGATGCGCTTAGAATGGCCCAGAAAAGCCTAAAAAGGAAAAAAAAATGCTTTTAATGGGCCAGAATCTATATTTATCCCTGAACAATTAAATTTGCGTTCATATCTTGCTTCTTTTCGATTTTCACATAAAATAAACGTCAAAATCAAACTCTACACTAAAAATTAGCCCAGAAACCATCAAAAACAGACAGAGAGGAGCGTGGCCGAACTTTCCAAGTGGTGGCCTAGGAAGTTTGAAAACTCGGCCAGTTTGAATATTTCTGTTTTTTCGGCGTTTCTGATGTAGTTTTTGATGGGAAATTCGAATTTCATAGTTTTACTTTTGAAAATCGAGAAAATCGAGAAATGAAAAATCAGTTTTTTTTCAATATTTTTCTGCAATTTTTAGCTAAAATGGCCTCTAGATCTCGCTTCTTTTTGATTTGCACACAAAATGAAGGTTAATGTCGAACCTTACACCAAAAATTGGCCTGGAACTGTCAAAAAACGACTAAAAACCAATGTGGCCGAACTTTCCCAAATAGTGGCCTAGAAATTCGAAAAACTCGGCCACCTCGAAATTTTCTGGTTCTTCATGGGTTTCGGGGTGGTTTCCGATGAGGAACTCGAATTTCGTAATCTCAACTTGCGAAAATCACCAGAAAATCGGGTTTTCGATTTTAATGTATTTTTCTGAAAATTTCAGCCAAATTTGCTTTTATATCTTGGTTCTTTTCGATTTTCACACGGAAAAAAACATCAAATTCGGAATCTACACTGAAAATTAGCGCAGACCCCATCCAAAAACAGCCAGAAAGGAACGTGGCCGAACTTTCCAAATGGTGGCCTAGAAATTTTCAAAAACTCGGCCACCTCGAAATTTCTCGTTTTTTCGGGGTGGTCTTAGATGGGAAACTCGAATTTCATAATCTAAACTCACGAAAATCTCTAGAAAATCGATTTTTCAAATGGTGGCCTAGAAAACCAAATCTAGGCCAGCATGAAAAAAAACTCACTCTGCTCATTGGTCAGAAGCTGAACGAGATTCGCTGAGAGTTGAACGATTTGAGCACATCCGTTTTTCAGTACCACTTTTTGTTTCTGGTTGAGCAATGTGGTGGAGTCGACGGCCTGGAAAAAAGAGGTGCATGGTGGCCTAGAAATCCAAAACTCGGCCACCACGGGTGGTGTATTTTCTAGGTCAATTGGAAGTGGTGGCCTAACTTTCGCAAGTTAAATTTTCTAGGCCATCATGGTAAAGTTACCTAGAAAGCACATCAGGGGCACGTTGGGTCATTTCCAGGTCATTTTTAAGTGATGGCCTAGAAAACTCAACTTGCAAAAGTTAGGCCACTAAGTAGAAATGTCCTAGAAATGGGCTAACATGGCCTGGTGTGTTTTCTAGGCTCTTTTAACATGGTGGCCTAACTTTAGCAAGATGCGTTTTCTAGGCCACCATAGCAAAATGGCCTAGAAAAGACATCAAATGAATATCAGACCAGTTCTAGGTCATTTTAAGATGGTGGCCTAAAAAACCCAAAACTCGACCATTAAAGGTTTCATGGCCTAGAAAATCCAATTCTAGGCCATATAGGTCACTGAGGCGCTTAGTGGTTTAGAATATCAAAAATCGGCCAATAAGCTATTACGACCTAGAGATCCAATTCTAGGCCATCAAACTATTTTAAACCTGATGGCCTAGAAACCCAAAACTTCGGCCATCAAGGTTTTATAGCCGAAAAGCCCAAAACTAAGCTTTGGTGGCATAGAAATTGATTCTAGGCCATCGAGCCTGATGGCCTAGAAGCCCAAATCTAGTCCCCGTCAATACCTTACCTCCGTATAACTATTGATATCACTGATAAACTGCAATTCCGAGCTAATCAACTCCTCCACAATTCGACACCGTTTATCCTCATCATTATTGGCTCCCTCCGTGGCCGAAATCAGTCCAATCTCAAAATCACTCGCAGAATGAATGACACCACTTGGTTGCTGCTGTGGCGCTTTCGGCGCGCTTGGCACCGTGCCAAACATTTCCGAAACGTCGCCGATGTCGGCGGTTGGCGACGTGATTGAGCTCTGTTTTGGGGGCGGTGGGCGTGCGGGGGCGGAGCTTTTGGAGAGCTGAATTGGAGCAATCCATTCCTCGCCAAATGTCGCCCATTGGGTGTTGGGTTTGGAGCTTGATGACGTGGCTTTTGAAGGATCCCCAAATGTTGCCCAATCGGTGTTATTTGCAGTTCGATTTGTGGGAGGACGCCAATCGGAGGTGGATTCGTTGGTCGTGAAGATGAACGAGGAGCGATTTGTGCCAAACTGCAAAAAAAACAATTAAATTTGGCATAGTTTTGACCTAGATTGCTCGGCATTAATTTTTGAGGAAAAGCATTTTTTCAATTTTTGAAAAAATTTTAAAAAAACTCAGAAAAAGATTTTCGAGCCATTTCAGCTCGTGATATCAATTTTTATCGCAATCGGACTTATTTAAAAATTTTCGATATTTTTTTAATTTTAGAAATTTTCGAAAAACCTGATTTTCCAGTGTTAACCGGTGATTTTCGCATCGAGCTTACAAAATTCGGGTTTCCCATCAAAAACTACCCAAGAGACTATGAAAAATTGAAAAATTTCGAGATGGCCGAGTTTTTCGATTTTTCTAGGCCACCATTTGGAAAGTTCGGCCACGGTTGTTTTTACCCGTTTTTTGACGGTTTCTAGGGTAATTTTTAGTGTAAAGTTCGAATTTGGAACTAATTGTGTGAGAAAATCAAAAAGTAAGGCTGAAAATTCACAATTTTAGGCATTCAAATGCAGTTTTCGAAAAAAAAAACATAGTTTTTCAGCCCAAGAATAGCGATTTTTTGGAAATTTGACAATTTTGGCTTATTTAGAAGCTTTTATAACACAATTCAAAGTTTTCAAACTTACCGAAAATTCATTCCCACCGCTTCCGGTCCCTCTCCTTCCCATTACCGCCCCTCCGGTTTGATTATCCTCATCCTCATCGTCTAAATAGACTTCCAAAAAGCCAACAGGCACAATTCCAGTTTTCTCCGTGTCCGGATCCTTACACATGACCCACTCATCATTGACCATTCGTAATACACGAACAGTATCCCCCGCATTTACAGTAAGCTCATCCCCCTGACGTCCGACGAACGCGTGACGAACATTCGCGAATCCGATTCCATCGTTTTCGGTTGCTGTGCTCCTCCGATGATTCTGCACAGATGCCACGTCATCATCAGGAAGATCAACGATGATTTGAACGAATGCGGCTGGGAAGATTCCGACGCGAGATGACCCTATCGATCCTTCCAACCATTCCGAATCGACCCGCCGTCGCAGATTGATGATCTCGTCGGCGGCAAACGAGAGTTCGTTGGAGAATTCGCCTCTGGAATTTCTTAGAGCTTGAAATTTGAAAATTCGAAAACTTTTTTTAATTTTCGATTTTCTACATTTCTCTAATTTTTCCGGTTTCCCCAATTCTTCTTCCCTCAAAAACCCAATTTTTTATACTGAAAATCGGTTGAAAATCGCTGAAAAATACGCTTTTCTCTGCGTCTCTTCACCCTTCTCTCTCGTCGACGACGAGAGAGTGTGTAGTTGTAAGAGAGCGCAGAGGGGGAGAGAGAGAGTGAATTTTGGGATTTATCAACCGGAAAAAAAAGCGTTTTTCGTCAATTTTTTTCTGCATTTTTGGGGTCGGAAATATGGAAAAATTGTGATTTTCATCCGAAAAAATGATTGAAAACGGGAGAAAAATAGATGAAAATTGGTTTTTTGAGCGGAAAATTCGAAAAATTCCTGAAAAAAAAAAGATTTTTTCAGAGAAATTCAATTTTCCTTAAAATCGAGAAGAACTGATATTCCGCCTCGAAAAACCGAAAATTTTGGTTTAAAAATGAATTTTTTCATGTCAAAAAATCTGAAAATTTGCAAAAAAAAAGCCAAGTTCCCACAAAAATATTTTTTCGAAATTTTCAGATTTTTCTGGAGATTCTAATGCATTTTTAGATGATAGCTAGCATGTTTGAGCACAGAAAAACTGGAAAATTGTGATTTTGAGCCAAAAAAATTATTGAAAACAAAGGAAATAGGTGAAAATCGAATATTGAGCGAAATTTAGAAAAATCGAATTTTTTGTAAATTTTCATATTTTTCCGAAATTTTTAATGTAATTTTTCAATTTTCTGCGATTTTTCATATTTTGCGGATTTGTCAGTTACGTTTTTTTGATAAAATGTACACTTCAAAATAGTTTGTTGAAGAAACATTTTTTTTTCAAAATTTCCAGATTTTTTTCAGAATTTCTAGAATTTCCAGCTTTTTAAAAACCTACTGAAAATCATAGACAGCTCTCGCGTACGGCGCCACTGAGTAATTCTCAGTACGGGCGGTCCGAGCGCTCACCGGCGTCCGATACTTGACGTCGTCTTCGCTGAAGTCCGTCGTGAACGATGGCTTCATTTCTTCTTCTGAATTCTTTGTTGACGACGTTGGCACATTCAAATTTACTAAAAACGTCTCGGGCAACAATCCACGTCGTCCGATTTGCACCGAAATGTCATTCACCAAGTAGCCGTCGAGATAGCCCGGATTTGACGGTGATGGTTTTGCTACTAGAAATTTTTTTTTGAATTTTAAAACTCGAACTGCAAGCTTTTTGTTCAGTGGAGTGCAATTGCAACCGCGCTCCACTGAACACAAAGGGTTAGAGAAGAGGAAACAAAGAAGGAAAGTACCAAAAATAGAAAACGGTGCAAATGACAAATCGTCGGAGCGAATCGAAGTATAAGAGTCGGTAGAGCAATAGATTTGTTCACCAGGAAGTCTAAAAATTTGGAATTTTCCAAAAAAATATTTTTTATTTTATTTTTCGAAACCTCTTCGGATCGACGATTGGCAATGTGAGAACCTTGGGAACTCTGCCGGTGGCGCCCTCGATCGTTTGAATATGACACCTAGAAAACTGTATTTTTAAAAAACTGCATTTTTTTGGGGATTTTTGATGGGTTTTGAGCTAACAATCGATTGAAAAATCGAAAAAATTCGCGGAAATATGCCAACTACAGTATCCCTAGGCTCGGAAAAGTTCTGTACACCGCGACGCGAAAATACAGAATTTCGGATTTTTGGTGAAAAAAAAGGGAAAATCGAGTGTTTTTTCAACAGAAAAAAAAACTGAGAAAGAGATGTTTTAATTATTTTTGTAACTATTGGAACTATTTTTGCAGCGAAACAAATTTTCTCCTCAAAAAACTATATATTTCTACAGTACCCCAAGCCGCTAAAAAGTTTTGTACATCGCGACGCAAAAATGCACAAAACAGTTTTTTCTTTCGGAAATTGGTTTTTTTTCTTTTTTTTAATTCAAAAATTATATGAAGAAAAACCTTTTTTAGATTTCTGACAGAAATCATAAAAATCAAAATGATTTTCTTGAAAATTCGCCAAAAAATCCCCTTTTCTACAGTAACCTGAGCGGCAAAAAGTTTTGTTCACCGCAGCGCAAAAATGCACAAAAACGTATTTTCAGCGATGTTCAAGGCTTAAAAATCGCAAAATGCTGAAATTTTCTAAATTAAAAAGGAAAATCGTAAATTAGAATTTTTCCTTTAAAGAAAAAGCAATTTTCGAAGAGAAATGCAAACAGAAAGGATTTTTGCGGAAATCCGCAATTATCTGGGAGAGGAAAAGTGCAAGGAATTCTCATTGGAAATTCTGAATTTAGTTTTTCTACTATTTTGGCGAAAAAATTCAAAATTCGCATAAAAAAGCTTTGAAAACTTTTTTTCGAGAAATTTAAAAAAAAAATTACTACAGTAATCCGTTTTGCGTTGGAGCACATTTTAAGGGGAACTCGCTGTACAAAATCGATTTGATTAACCTAAACGCTCTCCCTCAGAACAATTCCGAACTGCAAATTAATTTTTGACCTACAGAAAAAAAGTTTGGCGCGATCACAATTGCAGGTCTAAAACCATAATTTCAGAATTTTTATCTGATTTTGTGGAGTTCCAAGATGATTCAAATGATTCTTAAAAAATTAATTAGTGTTTATAGATTCATGTATGGTCGTTTTCCGGAAGAAAAAATGTCAAAAATTGTCATTTTTGAAAGTTTTTTACAGAAAAAATCTATCTCCTCTTTCAGTTTTTGACATTTCTAGGAGTTCTATAGCTCAAAAAAACCGCAATTATTTTTTCTACATTTTCTATGGATGAATTTTTAA